TTCAATTACAGTTGCCCCCATATTTCCCATTACTCTCCCCTGCCCTACCCACGTCCCTCCCACATTCAATACTCTCCCTCCCCCATTGTATTTGTCTAGTGGTCCTTTATACATGTTTACTGCCCCTACCCCTTCTTCCCCCATTATTCTCCTCAGCCCCCCCCCCATTTTGCTAATATTTTTAAGGGAGCTTTGCGTCTATGTTTATCAGGAGTATTGGCCTATAATTTTCTTTCTTTATAATGTCTTTATCTGGTTTGGGGATTAGGAAATTGCTAGCCTCACAAAATGAGTTTGAATTTTAAATAATTGGAGAATATATGTTAACTCTTCTTTGAATGTTTGGTAAAGTTCACCATGCAGTCCATTACGTTTGTTTGCTGGGAGGTTTTTTTTATTACTGCTTCAATTTTATTAGTTGTAATTGGCCTATTCTGATTTTCTGATTCTTTTTGATTCAGTTTTGGAAGATTGTATTTTTCTATGAATTTATCCATTTTGACCAGTTTGTCCAATTTGTTGGCATACAGTTTTTCATAATATTTTCTTATACTCTTCTGTATTTCTGTGGCATGGTGTCAGTTGTTACTTCTGCATTCTCATTTTATTTTATTTATTTCTGAGTCCTTTCTTTTTCTTGATGAGTCTGGTTAACGGTTTATCAACCTTATTTATCCTTTCAAAGAACACCAGCTTGTGGTTTCATTAATCTTTTGTATTGTTTTAGACTCATTTATTTATGCTCTGATCTTCATTGTTTCCTTGTTCTTTTTTTTAAATTACATGGGAATGGAATTTTTATTCAATTTATTGGGGGTGACATTGGTTAATGGGATCATATAAGCTTCAAGTGTGCATTTCTATTAATATGGTCTTTATATTGCACTGTGTACCACCATCCAAAATCAAACCATCTCCATTAACATATACTGGGCCTACCCCCACCTCTCCACCCCCTTCCCTCTGGCAACCACCACATTGCTGTCTGGGTCTACAAGTTTCAGTTTTATATCTCAAATATGAATGAAATCATATGGTTCTTAGCTTTTTCCGAGACTTATTTCACTTAGTATAATATTCTGAAGGTCCATCCATATTGTCGCAAATAGCAGTATTTTGTCTTTACTTATGGCTGAGTAGTATTCCATTGTGTATATGTACCACATCTTTATACAGTCCTCTATCAAAGGACACTTTGGTTGTCTTCATGTCTTGGCCACTGTGAATAATGCTGCAGTGAACATCTTTGTGAATATATGTTTTCAAGTTTTTTAGGTAGATACCTAGGATAAGGATTGCTAGGTCATATGGTAACTTTATTCTTAATTTTTTGAGGAAACACCAGACTGTTTTTCATAGTGGCTGTACCAGGCTACATTGCCACCAGGAGTGAATGAGGGTTCGCCTTCCTCCCCAACCTCTCCAACACTTGTTAATACTTGTCTTGTTGATTGCCATTCTGACAGGTGTGAGGTGGTATCTCATTGTAGTTTTTTTATTGTTGACACTATTACAGATGTCCTCCATTTTTCATTCTTTTGCCCCCCTCCAGCTAGCTCCTGCCCACTGCCCAGCCTTCATCACATTGTTATCTGTGTCCGTGGGCTATGCATATATGTTATTTGGCTACTCTCTTCCAATCTCCCTCACCCGCCTCTTCTCTGAGCTCTGACAGCCTGTTCCATGTATCTATGTCTCTGGTTTTATTTTGTTGGTTTATTTTGTTAGTTTATTTGTTAGTTAGTTCTTCATTAGATTGCACATATAAATGAAATCATGTGATATTTGTTTTTCTTTTTTTTAATTGTTGTTCAAGTACAATTGTCTCCATTTTCTCCCCACCACTCTCTCCTGCCCCACCTACCCCCACCTCCCACTCTCAGTCCTACCCCCTTTTTTGTCCATGGGTCCTTATACATGTTCCTTGATGAGCATTCCCCTTCTTTCCCCCATTTTCCCCCCTCCCCTCTGGTTATTGTCAGTAATGGTAGGGGCGGAGGGGCTGAGCAGAAAGGAAAAAGGACTCATGGATATGGACAACGGTGTGGTGATTGTAGGGGGAAGGGGATGTAAGGGGAGTAAATGGTAATGGAAAAATACAATAAAAAATTAAAATATTTTTTAAATGAAAATAAATAAAAAGAAAACTCAGTGATGTCAGTGTAATATCCTCTAGGAATACTGGCCAGTGAGCTGTGCTGAAGTCTGCTGCTGCTACTGGAGGTACTCCTATTACTGGATGCTTCTCTCCTGGAAATGTCACTGACCAAATCCAGGCAACTTTCCAGGAGCCATGACTTCTGGTGGTTACTGATCCCAGGGCTGACCATCAGCCTCTCACAAAGGGATCTTATGTTAACCTGCCTACCATTGTTCTGTGTAATACAGACTCCCCTCTGTGCTACATGGACATTACCATCCCTTGCAACAACAAGCAGACACACCATCATTTCTGCCATGTCTTACTGGTCAAAGCAAGTCATAAGCAGCTCAGACTCAAGGCATGAAGAAAAAAATCTCTCTTGACGAGCAGAGACGCAAACTCTAATTACAAGGGGTGTAGACACAGAGAGGGTAGAGATTTAGAGCCACTTTTGCAATTAATATAACACAGTAACAATCTTGGGGGAAGAGACAAGGTTTGTAGCATTGAGTTTAGAAATCACCACAGCATTAAATAAACTGGCAGAGATTAGAAAATCCGGAAAATCCCCCCAGTCAAATCTTAGAGGAAGAAGCACCTGTACCTACCAGTAACTCAGCTTAGCCAATCTAGTGCGCAGAAGACATAGGCCTCAGATAATCAGGGGTATAAAGATACAGATATGATATCATGCTTTACCCAGGTGTCCTAAACCACGTGCAGATTTTTAGTTGTGGTTTTATCCCACACCCATAAAAGTACTGATTTAATTCTGAGATTCACTTGGGTATTTATCCTTCAAGAAAGTTTTTGTTCACAGTAAGGACAAATTTTCCACCACTGCTATTTATTTCAGGCTTTGCATCCTTTGGGAGAAGCAGATCCCACCCATTTCCTTATAAACTCTTATCTCTTTTAAAATGTTAATTGCACGGCTGTGGGTTTAATTCTCTTCTCTAGTATTTTCTCCTGTTAAAAAAAGAAGTCAGCCCTGGCTGATATGGTTCAGTGGATTGAGCGCTGGCCTGTGAACCAAAGGGTCACTTGTTTGATTCCCAATCAGGGCACATGCCTGGGTTGTGGGCCAGGTCCCCAGTAGGGGGCACACAAGAGGCAACCATACATTGACATTCCCTTCTCTTTCTCCCTCCCTTCCCCTCTGTCTAAAAATAAATAATACATTAATTAAAATTTTGAGTCTTTAAAAAAGTCAGCGTGGGCCCCTGTTATCAGCTCCCTCAATTATTTAGCCTGCAGCATGATTGAAGTTGTCCTCAAATGATCTTGAAATAGTGGCATTGAGTCAGAAACTAAGATGCTGCAACCACTAAAGGAACAGTCTTCGGAGCAATAGCTATCCTAGAATCTCTAAGATGTTTGCTTTTATCTCCTCACAGGAGCAATTCTGTTTAATACACCATAATTTTGCTTAGGGCTATTCCTGCTCTTGGATAATAAGAGGGCCTTTCAGCTTCTGCTGTAGGTGATTCTTGGCCTCAAAAGGCAGGATTATATCTGAGGCTGTAGGTTAGAACAAGTTACTACAATTTCTAATTTCTCCTCTAATAATATATTATTACCTAAATCTTGGAATTTCTTTGTTGAATATTTGTGATTTTCTAGGCAGCCTGAGGATGGAAGCAATGAACTCTTGGGCTTCCAACCTAGCCTGGGAGCTTCCTTAAAGGAACCACTCACAGCCATTGCAATGATGCTGGTGGGAAGCTGTGTGTGAAGCAGCAGGTGGGCTGGACGTTGGGATTTATATATGTGGTGTTTGATCCAGATAAGTAAAAGTATGGCTTCATGCTCTTCGGGGGAAACCTTAAAGCCTCAGAATAGCTATACCTGAATGGGCAGAGAACAATGAGAAACTAGTTACTTGCTGATGCTCAGAAATCATGGCATCATGATGGGGTCACCATCAGCAAAATTAACAGTGTAATTTCCTCGTATGACGTTTTTCACATTAGACTAAAGAGAAAGTAATTGGAGTGCCAAAAATTAAAATGCATTTTATAATATTATGGGACACATGAAAAGAATGATAATGAATTGTAACTATCAAGAAATGAACTATTTATAAACACAATGAAAAACATGTGAATCTTATCAAAATAATGTGTGAAATAAACCAGACACAAGAGTACATAAAGTTAAAAAAAAACAGACAAAACTAAAGTATTAGAAATTCACCCCTAGGTAGTAATACAAAAAAGGAAAGCTAAGAAATTATTGCCATAACTATGAGGATAGCAGTTTCCTCTGGGTAGGAAGGGTAAGATAGTGGTAAGAAGATGGAACAGGTTCTAGGCTAATGGAAATGTTCGATTTCTTGACCTGAGTGGTGGGTTCACATCGATGAACATTTTGTGATAAATCATTCAGCTATATATTTATATTTTACATACTTTTCTGCATATGTTATATCGCGCAAATAATATTTAGAAAAAATAAGTGCCTAAGAGCAGTAAAGCAATTTTAATGATAACGAGAAGGTAATATTATAAAGCTTTAGTAGTTAAGACAATTGGTATCAGTGACGATAGACAAATAAATAAATGTAAAAGAATAAAGACATTCCCCACCCCACCCCCCAAAACCCCACAAATCTAGAATGTCTCGGTATATAACAGAGGTGACATTATAATCACTGGAGAAGCAGCTTAGAGAGAAGGATCCTAGAATGGAATCTTGGGAAAGCCATCAGGAAGAGATCGTGTAAGACTTTCCTTGTAAACACTAAACTGGTCAAACAGTTAACCGCGCCTCGGCATCTCGACAATCCTTGCGGTGGGGTGGGGACGGTTTCAGTTCTGCTGGCCCTTCCAGCCACTAGGCGGCGCAGCGGTGACGCATGCGCAGTGCTCTTGGGTTCAGCCGCAGATGTAGGTGCGCGCGCACGGATTTGCACGTAGCATTAACCCGAGCGCGCGCGCGAGCGCGCGCGCGCGAGCATACACGTGCACACCCGTAATTGCGCTGCGGTGGTTCCAATTTTTCACGGAGCGGCCGGCCTGAGTCCAGAGTCCGAGGTGTCCCAGCGGCCAGCAGACAGTAGTGCTCCGCAGAGGGGCGCGGGCGCAAGGCTACCGCGACGTCCTGCAGGCGGACGTAGGGAGCAGTAGGCAGCAAGAGACGAGACTCGCCCGGGGCGAAGCCTGGAGAGCCAGAGAAGGTCCTTTGGTGGCAGCCAGGGAAGGCCTGGTGGTAGAGGTCGCCTGATTGTTGGTGTAGCTCTCAGAGGAAGAAGGTCCTGGGAGCAGGCCCACGTCCATGTCGAGGAAACACTCAGGTTGTCTGTTTTGCCCTTTCTCCGCTTCTGTCTCCCACTTCGCGTTCTAGGGATGAATTACCACCAGTTCCTCCGCCACAATCTGGAAGACTAGCCAGTTTCTCCGGGTTGAATACAAGCGCTTGAGGGACTCCGCAGGCGATTTGTGGAAGCCTGCAGAGCCGGGGAAGTAGCGTTTCATGCCGAATATCAGCGGAATCCTCAGAGGGTGGATTTTGAAATTTTAACATTTCCTGTAGCTCTGAGTGCACCTGAAATTATCAGTCCTCTTATAGAAGAATTTGGCTGTGGTAAATTTATCAACAGAGAATAATGATGAAACTACTTTGAGGAGGTACCTCGTCATTCAAGACAGTCATACCAATCGTGTAACTTGATTCTTTTCTTTCTTTCTTTTTTTTTAAGGAACAGTATATGAACAGGTAATCTTAAGTTTGGAGTGAAAAAGATGGGGGAAGCTTATGAAAAATCATTAGAAAAGAAATAGAAAAAAATGTCAGAAGTCCTGTGTCTCCTCTAACATTCTTTGGTTTGTGATTGAGACTTTTTCCCGTGCCTTGTGGAAATGTCTTGCAAAATTGCTTCACTTAAAAAGTAGTTTTATAAATTTGACACTTGATGAAGAAAAAATGCCAGAAATAGAGTCCATGATGATAAAAGGAATCATCGATAGCGGTGATAAGAATAACGAGTTACAGCCAAGGTATTAGGACTATGAAGATAATTGAAATTGTCAGAATGTGCTCTCTTCTTGTCAGATTCAATAGTTTTTAATGTAAGATTGATTTTTGTGTTTTCTGAAGCGTGTCAAATGGCAAGCAAAGTATATATTACATAATAAATATGTATTAAAGAATATCTGAAATTTCTGAATTTAAAGTATTTTTATATAATCCATTCACAAGCCCTTCAAATTATAAAATATATAGTGAAAAGTCTCCCATGCCTTTTCCCCTCCACCCAATACCTACCACAACCCCAATCTATAACCACAGTACCTCTTTCAGTTTCCTAATGTAAACTCAAGAAATTGGGGAGGGGTTCATTGCTTTACAAAAGTTGGCATGTTATGAACATATCTTGAAGAGTCTTCCAAAGCTCTACATTTCCTCATTCTTTTTTAGAGCTGCATTTTATTCCATTCAGTGGTTAAGTTGTAATTTATCTAACCAGGAACACACTGATGGGTATTTTGGTTATTTTTCATCTATTTCTACTCTGTGTATGTATCATATGGCATGTGTATGAATACAGTATTGCTTTAATTCTAAGTGTACTTTGTATATTGATATCTCTGAAATTGGGCTATATCTTACATTTGATGGTACAATACAGGATTTCTATAAAAATAATGGCATCACGTAATCATCAGCTTTTTAGATTCTTTGATATATAGAATACCTGTAAGATGAATTTCCAGAAGCAAGAATTCTGGGCCAAAGGTACAATAGTTATAGACATTGCTAACTTGCCCTTCATACGTGTACAATTTTGCACTCTCACCAGCAACTGAAGGACATGGACATTTTCTCACAGCCTAGCCAACACAATAAGTCACCAAATGTCTAGATTCTGCCAAACTATATAGTTGAAATATGATAGATCAGCTTTAATTTGCTCTTCTCTTATGAGTGAAGTTAAATATCTTCATTTAAAACTCATATGTAGTCCCATTTCCATGAACTATCTTTTCATATCTTTTATCCATTTCTTTTCTGATTATATCCTTTATTGACTCTAATAGATATTTATGTAATAGTGATATGATAATAGCTTATGCTGTGAGTTATGAATTTTTTCCCAGTTTTACATTTGTCTTTGGTTTTCCTAAAAGCCTTTTGGCATGGAGACTTCCAGCCAAGATGGAGGCGTTAACCAGATACACTTTGCCTCCTCTCACAACCAAAAGAAAGACAACAACCAATTTAAAAACAAAAAATAACAAAAAAACTGCCAGAAAATAAAACTATGGAAGTCCAAAAACCAAGAAGTTAAAGAAGAAACGTTCATCCAGACCAGTAGGAGGGGTGAGGTTGGGCAGCTGGGGCAGGGAGGACGAGTGGCAAGGCAGTGGCTGGAGGAGCAGATGGATGACATGGCGGCTGGTGGACTGGGTGGTCCCACATTGGAGTGCAGATGAACCAGGTGGAACAGCTGGGGAGTGAGACAGACCGTACAACCCAGAGTTGCAGTGTGGGAGAAGAAAGCCTCAAAACTTCTGGCTGTAAACACCTGTGGGGGATGTGGCAGCAGAAGGAACTCCCAGCCTCACAGGAGAGTTCGTTGAAGAAACTCACAGGGTCCTAGAATGTACACAAACTCTCCCACTGGAGAATCAGCACCAAAAGGGCCCAGTTTGCTTGTGGGTAGTAGGGGAAGTGACTAAAAGCCAGCCAAGAGCCGAGTAAGTGGCATCGTTCCCTCTTGGACCCCTCCCCTACATACTTCGCCACAACACAGCAATGTGGTTTGCCGCGCACTGGTGAATACCTAAGGCACTGCCCCTTCCAATGTAACAGGCATGCTGAGACAAAGAAATATGGCCCAAATTAAAGAACGGATCAAAGCTCCAAAAATAGAACTAAGTGACGAAGATATAGTCAACCTATCAGAAGCACAAGTCAAAACACAGGTGCTCAGGATGCTCACTGAATTGACTGAGTATGGTCGCAAAATGGAGGAAAAAGGGAAGGCTATGCAAAGTGAAATAAAAATATACAGGGTACCAACAGTAAAGGGAAGGAAACCGGGACTCAAATCAACAATTTTGGAGCAGAAGGAAGAGAGAAACATTCAACCAGGACAGAATGAAACAACAAAAATTCAAAAAAATGAGGAGGTCTTAGGAACCTCTCGGACAACTTTAAATATTCCAACATCTGAATCACAGGGGTGCAAGAAGGAGAAGAGGAAGAGCAAGAAATTGAAAACTTATTTAAACAAATAATGAAGGAGAACTTCCCTAATCTGGCCAAGGAAACAGATTTCCAGGAAGTCCAGGAAGCTCAGAGTCCCAAAGAAATTGGAACCAAGGGAGCACACACCAAGGCACATCATAATTAAATTACTCAAGATTAAAGATAAGGAGAGAATCTTTTTTTAGAAGTTTTTATTTATGTATGTATGTATGTATATATGTATGTATTTTTAGAGAGGGGAAGGGATGGAAAAAGAATAGGAGAGAAACATCAATGTGTGGTTGCATCTCACACGACACCTGCTGGGAACCTGGCCTGCAACCCAGGCATGTGCCCTGCACTGGGAATCGAACTGGTGACCCTTTGGTTCACCGGCTGGCCCTAAATCCACTGAGCCACACCAGCTAGGGAGGATAAGGAGAGAATCTTAAAAGCAGCAAGAGAAAAGGAGATAGTTACCTACAAAGGAGAAAAGAAACCTTACAGGCAAGAAGGGACTGGAAAGAAGTATTTAAAGTCATGAAAAGCAAGGGCCTGCATCCAAGATTACTCTATCCAGCAAAGCTGTCATTTAGAATGGAAGGACAGATAAAGTGCTTCCCAGATAAGGTCAAGTTAAAGGAGTTCATCATCACCAAGCCCTTATTATATGAGATGTTAAAGGGACTTATCTAAGAAGAAGAAGATAAAAAATTATGAACAGTAGCATGACAACAAACTCACAACTATCAACAACTGAACCTAAAAAAAGCAGAAACAGAAACTGAGTAAACAACTAGAACAGGAACAGAATGACAGAAATGGAGATCAAAGGGGAGGGGAAGGGGAGAGAATGGGGTGGAAAGGTACAGGGAATAAGCATAAATCGTAGGTACAAAATAGACAGGGGGAGGTTAAGAATAGTATAGGAAATGGAGAAGCCAAAGAATTTATATGTACAATCCATGGACATGAACTAAGGAGGTTGAGGAATGCTGGTGGGAGGAGGGGTGCAGGGCACAGGGAAATAAAGGGGAGGAAAAAATGGGAAAACTGTAATTGCATAATCAATAAAATACATTAAAAATAATAATAATTTTTTAAAAGCCTTTTTGGAGTTTTTTTACTTTTGTTTTTGCTTCCTGTTTTATTTAAACCGACAACAATTTGAATCCCAAGGTTTTCTTGGTGTGTATGGTTTCAAATTTGAACCATTTGAAATTTATCCTGAGGTACCCTATGAGGTAAGAATCCAAAATTTATTTTTTAGATGGATTCCTGGTTGCCCCAACACCAGTTACTAACGCATCCATCTTTTCTTCATTAACTTTATTTAAAGATGTCCTTACTCTGCTGTACTACAGTATCCTATAGGCCTTACTCTAGCCTGGGTTCTTGGGAAACCAGGATTATGGCAGGAATGATGAAGCCATGGGTGGTTTTCAGGGGATTTGTGATGAACATTCTGTGTGAATTAAAAAAAAAGAAAATCTCTAAAAGCTCAAAGTACCTTCATAGTGTATGAACATTTCTCACTGTGTATCTCCCCTTTTATCTGAGTTGCGAGTCAAGGTAATGAAGTTGTGATATATCAGCAAGAGAAGAAACCACTTCTTCAACCCACAAAGCTGTCCTTCCCTATAAAGCTGTACAGGCAATCAGATATTCTGTGAAAGCTTCAGAAATGAACTCAAATAGGACTCGTACACCCTGAAGCTGTCAGAAATAATCACTCTTTAAAGAAAGGAAGGGAAGAGCCCTGGCTGTGGTGGCTCAGTTGATTGAGCGCCAGCCTGTGAAGCAACAGGTTCAATTCCAGCCAAGGCACATGCTTGGGTTGCAGCCAGGTCCCCAGTAGGGGGCACTTGAGAGGCAACTACACATTGATGTTTCTCTCTCCCTCCCCTCCCCTCTCTAAAAATAAATAAATAAAATAAAATAAAGAATTAAAAAGAAAGGGAGGGAGGAAGGAAGGGAAAGAAAGAAAAGAAAGAAAGAGAGAGCACTGACCATTGTGGCTCAGGGGATTGAGTGATGGCCTGTGCTAGTTTGATTCCTGGTCAGGGCACATGCCTGGGTTGTGCACTGGGTTCCCCAGTTAGGGGCACATGAGAGGCAACTGATTGATGTGTCTCTTGCACATTGATGTTTTGCTCCTACTCTTTCCCCCTCCCTTCCCCTCTCTCTAAAAAAAAATAAATAAAATCTTTTTAAAAGAAAAAGGACTTCCAATCAAGTAGGTAAACATGCTTCGCCTCCTTGTACAACTATAGCTAAAATTACAACTAGACTACAAAACAAATATCACCCAGATTCATCAGAAAATCAAGCTGTATAGAAATCCAACACCAAAGACTTAAAGAAGCCATGTTTATCCCGATGGGTAGGAGGTGCAGAGACATGGAGACAGGTGGAG